AGCTAGTTCAAATCGAGGGAGCGAGGCTAATTACCAAGTGAACTCAAGTATCGTGAGAGAGTTAGGCTAATAACCGAGTCGATCACACCTATCGTTGAGAGCAAGTCGTGGAGAGGCTTTGTTCGAGGCAAGCGAGTGGAACAAACACACGATCCTTCATCACGCGGTGATGAAGATCGCGTGTCTCGACTACCGATAAGCCGCTAGCCCGCGCCTTGAATCGCCGATAGGTGTTCTTCGAGCCACAACAGTGCTTCTTGGAACGAATAAAATTGTAATAGAATTTTGGTGGAAAACTAAAACAAAGTGGAAGAACAAAAGTTCAGATTTCTAATAAAATTGATGTTGAAAAATAACATGGAGTATGGCCTTTATATAGGCACAAATTATATCTAGTCCTAATCTACCTAGGGAACTATTAAAGCAATAAAATATTAAGAATCCTAAACAATCTAGATATCATAATGCAAGATAGAAACTAATTAATCTTGGCTTGCACTCCAAGGCATGTAGTCGCCTCTCTCTCTCGCGTGTTGCTTAAGTCGGCCACCGCCCTCGCGCTTGCCTCAGTCCCAGAAGACTTGGGGCACGCCACCTTTCCGCGCGCGTGCACGCCCGCCTGGCGTGTCTCGCGTGCCCTTGCTGCCAGCGGCTTCCTCGCGCGCGTCGACTCCACTACCCGGCTGTCCGCACGCCTCAAGGATTGGGTTCTAGCTCCCCTGCTGTGCACACGCGTTGTTGCTTCCCGCATCTGCCGCGTTCGTCACTCGTATTCCCCGCACGCCTACGCCCGTGCTGTCCTGCTCTCCTGCCCCGCGCACCAATTGCGCGCGAGTGTCTTTGCTCGTTCACTTGCTACTTTCGCGTGTCTCCCGCACATTTCCATCCAGGGCTTGCGTCTCGCCCACGGCCCGTGCCAACCTCTTGCGTGCGTGGTAGGCGCGACTTGCAACGTTCTTGAGCTGCCTAGCCACTTCCGCATCATTCTCGTCCCCTTCAAGTGTTTCCTTGTCCTCAAAGACGAAATTTGGGAATTGATCGCGCATCTCATCAAAGTCTTCCCACTTGGCTTCTTCAGGTGGCAACTCTTCCCAATCAACAAGTACCTCCCAGCGGTAGCGACCAGCTTTCTTTATTTTGCGATACTTAATCGCACGTTTTGGGCGTACTATGATCCTACCATCGGTCGCAGTCGACGGTAATTGTTCACACCACTTATGAGCTTCTCTTGAACTCTTTTTTAGCTGTGAGACATGGATAACTGGATGGATCTGCGAACTCTCTGGCAATTCTAGACGATAAGCTACCTGACCAATGCGCTTCAGAATCTGATAAGGCCCCATAGTAGCGGACGTCTAGTTTGGTTGCTGCCCTTTATGCTGTCGTGTGCTGCCTAAACGGTCTCAGCTTCAAGTAGACATACGCTCCTGGTGCAAAATTCTCTTCACGCCTTTTTCCATCTGTGAAGGCTTTGGTCCAGTTAATCGAGCCTTCGAGATTCTTCTTTAGTTCCCGCAACATCAAATCTCGCTCCTCCAGCTCTCGACCAACCTCATCGTTGACCGTACTTCCTTCCGAATAATTGATCAATGTCGGGGGTTTGCGCCCATATACCAGCTCGAATGGCGTCGTTTTGGTCAACTCATGGTAGGTGGTGTTGTACCAATACTCAGCCCAAGGCAGAAAGTTTTCCCACTTCTTTGGAAATTGATGGACATAGCACCTTAAATATTGTTCAAGAGTTCGGTTAGTTACCTCAGTTTGTCCATCTGTCTGTGGGTGATAAGCTGAGCTCATTTATAACATAGCCCCCTGCAACTTCAAGAATTCGGACCAAAAGCTGCTCATAAAGATCCGGTCTCGATCAGAAACAATAGAACGTGGCGCCCCATGCAGCTTCATCACATACTCCACGAATAACCTGGCAATTGACTTTGCTGTGTATGGATGGGTATGAAATGAGCATACTTCGTAAGTCGATCCACCACGACCATAACACCGTTGAACCCATTAAAACTCGGTAACCCTTCAATAAAATCCATAGTAATGTCTTCCCAAATTGCCTCGGGTACTGGTAGAGGTTGCAGCAGCCCGCTTGGTCGTCGCGAATCAGCCTTAGTACGCTGACAGTTGTCGCATCGCGTGATGTAATCATGGATTGTGCTCTGCTGCCCTGGCCAAAAGAAGATATTGGCTATTCTCATCCATGTGCGATAGACCCCTGAATGACCTCCAATCTTAGAATCGTAGAAGTGCTGCATGATCTTCTCGCATAGCTGCCCACTGTCTGGGACGAATACTCGGCCTCGGTCTAGTAGTAGGCCATTGTGCAGCTCATAATCAGCAGCGGTGGTTTCTCCTGCTTTGATCCCTCGGTGCAACTCTTGGCAATAGATATCCTCCTCATGCGCCTTTCGAACCTCTTCCCAAATAGTCCAAGTCGTCCCAGTGATAGCGTTAAGCTCAACTACATCCGTCCATCGGGATAGTGCATCGGCCACAACGTTTTGTCGACCCGGCCGATAGACTATCTCGAAGTCGAACACCATAAGTTTCGAGACAAACTTCTGCTGCTCGGAGGTAACAATTCTTTGCTCGAGTAGATGTTTGAGCGGCTGATGATCGGTCACGATCCGAAATCGATGCCCTAATAGATAAGGCCTCCAGCATCTTACAGCCTCGACAACTGCTAGCATCTCCTTCACATACACAGGCAAACCCAACCGAGTCGCACCCAACGCCTTGCTGAAGTAAGCTACGGGTCGT